GTTGTTTTTATAAATCTAGCACAATTCTTGAGCTTTTTTGCATTTGTGTTTTGGCTGTTTGCAAAGAGGGCTGTGTTGCAGAATGGACTGGTATTTATTGTGGGCAACCGCAATTCGCAGATGTATGTCTCTGGTCGCCAGCATAGTGCGGATGATCTCATTGCCACGGTGCTTGCGGTGGAACCCATGAAATTCATTTACAGAGGTTTGCTAAACACCGACCGTTTCCGTATCGATAAGTTTTTATTTACTTTATCCCCAGCAGTGAAGCTTTGCATTCAGGACGCATAGCAGTGTTCTCGGTGAATGTTCTGCGCGATGAGCGGATATGCATTGTGGCCGAGCAAAAACCGGGCGTCACCGAAGAGGATTCTTTCAGTGTATCTTTCTCACTTCTCCTTTTCGCAGTTTCCTATGCCTTCTGCCTGTTCTTGCTTTTAAAATAAATTAATACAGAGAACCACTTTAATACTGAGCTATTAAGACAACTTGTGCATGTTCCAGAATCGCATTTACCCCAGTTTGGCAAAGGCTGAAGTAATAGTGTTGGGCATTTCTCAGATTCACTCCCTTACCAGACTTTGAGAGGTACGGTTTTTGGGATCTCTTTCCAGATCTGTTTTTTGCGGGGTTTATGTTGTAGTTGTGCTTCCGATGTGTATTTTGCGAGTGTTTCCTCGTGCTTTCCTTTCACAGTTGTTAGTTATAGAACACTTTTCTTTTCCTTCCTGTACCGTAAATCATGCCAAACTTTGGAAACAAAAAAGTACGGGTGATAGATTCAGTCTTAGTCCAGTGATTTAATTTTCTGCGATTCGTTAGGGTTCATTACAACCTCTGATTTGTCATTTTGTTTACTGTTTACATGTTCTTTAATGTCGTTAAAGTAAGTTAGTAAGAGCTTATCACTATAGCTTATAAGATATATGAATCCCTAAACATACTTTTTTAAATTTCACTTTTGTTACTGGTGCACGTTCATTTTCAGTGGATGAGTCGTGTGCTGCAGGCAATCGACAGTATACATCAAGTTGGAATTTATTGCCTAGCGCTTGTGCCTTCGAATCAGTTACCGAAGGTATTTTTCCGATAATTGCCACTGATTGTCCTGAAACATTTTTACAGTTCTGAGTTTATCAGGTCACTTTATTTTCCACTTTTGTTTAAGCATTTTTCACTACTAGTCTTAAACCGAAATTTAATTAATTGACGGCGCACAAATAAGTTAGTTTTGGTCAGTTGGTCATCTTTTTTTATGCGTTTTCTGCAGCTATGCAATGCAGAAAACGCATATTGACGAGGGGTTGTCTGTTTGTGTCCGTTTGTGTATCTGTCACGCTTTTTCATCTCAAGACCTACAAAAGCTGTAGGGCTGAAACATTGTGAACTTAATCTACATACACGTACTGACCCCAATTCCCAAAACGGGTGCCATTACCTGTGTGTTACCCACGGAAGGGCCCGCCAAAGTTTTTTACGGGTAAGCTGCTAACTTGGAAATCAGAGGTACTTGAGGGCTGAAATCTTAAGAGGATGTTCCCCATCCAAGTAGGCATTAATGAGCTCAAAACCAGCCTCTGAGTATGCGTGGTACCCTCGTACGAGCCCGCCAAAATTTTTTTCGGGTAAGTTCATAACTCGGGTATCTGAGATGCTAGAATACTGAAATCTTAGGGGAATGTTCCCTGTCCGAGTAGGTATTAATGAGCTCAAACCCAGCCCCCGAGTATGCGTGTTACCCACGCGCGGGTCCATGAAAGTTTTCTTCCATTAAGTTGCTAACCTAGGAATCAGGAAAGCTATATAACTGAAATTTTAAGGAGATGTTTTCTGACAGTTCTGGCGGCCAGTCTTAATTTGTTTAGCTAGAAGCTTTTGCCGCAAAAACTGGTGCCGGTAGCGACAAAAACTGCGGGGAACTATGCAAAAAACGCATCTTTGCACGGGCAGCCCGTGCGCTGGGCAGTTATTTTAATTCTTTTCGTCAATCCACAGCTACTGTTATGTTTTTTTATAATTGACATTTGGCATCACTTACTGCTTAAGGTTTGTCTTTGCTTTTTTTCTTCAGACTCCGTTGGGTGGTATCCATGTGTCCGAAACGAGACAACGATTTATCGATGGCACGTTACATCCGAGCACACTTTTAATGTGCCCTCACAGCTGCGTGATCAATCTACCGAAACCGCGGGAGCAGCAGTCTGACGTTGGCCCGGCGGCCATGTTTGTTGGCAACATCGTGCAAGGAGTGCGAATTGCTGCCGCAAAAGGGCGACAGATTTGTGCTGATGATGAAAAGGTTTGTGTGTGTTTGGCTTGTATTAGCTGCTTATGGAGAGTGAGTTTCTAAATAGTCTGCGTTTTGTACAAGCATTCTTTATGAGATAGAAGTTTCGATAAATACTGTGCGGGTATGTGTTGCAGGTATCGAGTCTGATGGAAGTTTTGCGGCAACGTTCACAGACCTCGCCTGATCATGTTCTTTTTACGCTGATGAATTCACGTGGAGCGGAAGCGGAAAGTATAACATGCGCGCAGCTGTTGAAAAGAGCGGAACGGATCGGTTCGATGCTTATGGAAAAGGGTCGTCTGAATCCCGGGGAGCACGTTGCTTTGATTTTTCCGCCGGGCATCGATTTGATTGCTGCGTTTTACGGATGTCAAGCAGCAGGTAAGCAGCAGCAGTCAGACTGATTAGAATCTGTTATTTTGATAGATGCATTTTCTGGAACTGATAGTATGACAGCAATGTATTAAGGATTAGTGCCCGTATGCATTCGGCCGCCGCACCCACACAATCTCCAAACAACACTTCCGACCGTGCGAATGATTGTGGATGTTTCGAAAGCAGTTGCTGTGATCTCAACTTCAGCTTTAATCAAATTGCTCAAATGCAAGGAAGCTTCATTAAGGATCGACGCAAAGGTATGCTCCCCTTACCGTTATGTATCTTTTGCTTCGCGCTGTCTTTCCTAATTATGCATGATTTTTGCGCTTTTAGCACATATGCAAACACAGAAGCGTAATTTATCACAGGCGGGCAACCAGTTTTAATCCGGCTCGCGAAAGGGGTCGATATGTGGTGCCTAACTAGATGAACGGCAAGCTTCTGCACTCTCATGAAAATAAAACTAAAATACGCATGAGGCTAAGAGACAATAGTCTGAAAAGTACTTTGAGACTATTCAGACTACTAACGTACTTTGAGACTATTCGTTCTGACTTCAAATTTAGCGCAAAAACACATGATCGCATGGGCAAACTTGGTGTGTTGTTACTTGAGTTTTATCAAAAGGAGACGTGCGAGTTTAAGTAAGCATGTAAATTGGGCCCACGTGTCGCCAAAGGTTGCCCATGCCTGAAGCATATTAACGAGGTATTGCCTCTCTCTGTGTGTATGTGTGTGTGTGTGTTTGTGTGCTTTTATTTTGGAATTCTTATACTTGATTTTATAGTAGAATTGTGATATCGGTCGCCTGAATTAGCTAAAATCCGAACTGTGCCCTCAGGCAAATAGCAACGAAACTTGCTAATTCGGTGTGTTTGTGCAAATTTGTTTCCCATGGATAGGATGCGCAAAAATCATGTGCTTGTAGCAGATTGCCGCTGCGCACCATAATTTTTTAAGCTCTTTACCAGGCGATTACCAAAAACACATAGGTAGTTGCCGCATGGATTTGATGTGAATACTGTTATTGGGGTGCATCATTCATCTGGCGCATTTTTGTCAGTCCTTCGACTTACTGTTTATCCGCTGGCTTTTGTTGGATGCGTTTTAACATTGCTTTTCCATTGCTGTTTGTTGTTCACTTATTGTTTTCCGTCGATTTTTGTTGCATGTTCGTCGTTATTATGCGTTTTGTTTTGTGTAACAACAGCACAAAACGCATTTTGTCACGGGGTTGTTTGTGTGTGTGTGTCCGCAGCAACTTGTCCGCAACTTTCAATTCGGGAACCACAAAAGCTAGG